AGACACGGAAACCAAGGCAAACTTTCCACTGATCAAACCACTGTTTATATATATATATATATATATATATATATATACAGTTTATATTCATTAACCAATCACTCAGCGTGTGATTTCGGTTTACATCAAACGTCAAAAAATAGAATGTTGAAATAGATATATCGTATTCTTTTTCTAATGTCGGATTGGACTGTATGAATATGTGAGAATAATATTCCGTTGGCATACATTGTCCGTATCACACCACCACACATAGGTTTAAGACTTGACTTTCCTTACAAAAAGAGCAATTAGTGTTACACGCATAAAAAGCAGACACTGCAATTGTGTCATCAAATGAGGATAATAACAGAATGCAAAATATCGTCTTCATCTAAAGCAGGAGGTCGAATAAATTGTTTAATTCGATGTAGTTACGCTTACGTACCTCTGTAGCTGACTCATACAATACATTTGCCTCAGTATCAATTTCTGTACAATAAGGATCATGGAGAGCTAAGGATAAGGAGAGCAGTATATAACAGTAACACTCTCGTAGTGTCTGATTTTGACTATGAGTCACACAGACAGATGTCGAATGTTGGTTGGTGTCCATACAACAGTTAAAGCCAATGAAACATATGGACAAGCAGATCAGCACGTAAGACCTTGGGAATAAATTCATCAGTTTTATTCAGTATCCTTTGGAAGAGTACATCAGAAATAAATAAAACAGAACAAAGATCAGTGAGAGATAAATGAAAATAGGAGAGGAAATCATCAAAACTGTAGGGAGAAAAAAGAGTGAGGACATCCACACAATGACACATGTAGTAGACTTAACACCACAGAGACTTATAATCAATATCGTTCAGATAAATAATGACTAACTGGAGTTATCAATTACATGCCTTTAACTATTTTTCTATCTAATTCTATTTCAGTTAACACTTTTCACATTTAAGAGTTCTTTTATGAAATGTGAAACATTTTAGCCGCTGAGAATTTACATGATCTATTTTATACCTTTGTGTTCCAAGTGAAGCGTAAGCCTTCAAGTTTGAACTTTGAAGTTTCAGTGGCAGTGGTTTTTTTTTCTTTTTATGGGGTGCCCAACCTTCCTCCTTTACCGGTCTCACTACCGATAGACAGAGAGGTAAGGTTTAGAAGTTCACTGGCCGGGAATCGAACCATGGACTATTTGCGTGGTTGCACTGAACCATCGATGCTTTCATAAATTAACTTACTTTTTGAAAATAATTACGCTACTTCCAACTTCAACACGACTTATCACGAAGACAGACATTCATAGTCAAAGACTAAACATAATCATATTTCGCCAGTGAAGAGACGAGTGCTTCATATTTTATTTCTGTTCAAATTCGGCTAAGACAGATGATACAAACAGAGTGTTTAAGAATGAATAGTTCACTTGGAATATTTAATTATTAGTCACTATTGATTTCGGTATTTTCTTATTACTACTAAAATTTATAAAAATATTCTTATCAGTGGTAGTGAATATCTGAAATATGTTTATCAGAACAGAACTTTGGATACTTCAGAAAAGCACAGCACATAATGCCTCATAAAAGAAGTGCAATAAAAGTGTAATAAATGCGAGATAGAATGACTACACGAAGAATAATGAAGATTTTCAGAATCTGAAAGATCAGGAAAAGTGAACGCATTCGCTGAATGAGTCAGGATGAGATTATAAGCAGTTTACACATAAACTTATACACAAATACATACAGCATTCTGAGTGTATTGGGGAAATAAGATAAACACAACTTTTTTTACGGAATACCAATTGAGTTTTAGGAAAAGATGTGCTTTGGTTTTATATACCTATAAACTTGTTTATTTCGAAATCCTCTTTACAAAGTGATTCTGAAACATATCATTAGCTTGTAGAAAAACAAGGAATGTGCAGTGATATTTTAAACTGATTTCGTCGTCTAATCCACATACAGTGGTCAGATACTATGATTAAACTGAATTCTGATCACCCATCATTTTCAAAGCAATGAAACTGTAGCCTTTATTCCTGGTGCATGCCTAGCCATCTCCTTTCTCGACAGGCAATGTTTACAGAAATGCAATTATTTTGGAAAAGGGTTATGGGTGGTCAAACTTGAACCTGGCATCAATCCATGAAGTCTTCCACAGTTGATGTGGGTCACTTAGGGAGGTAAAGGCTGCTTGATTGAGTCCTTGTGATGATAAGAACTAATAGCTGGAGACTATTGGTGTTATGGCTCAAAATCTCTCTCAATAAAGGTAGGATATTATAACGACATTAACAACAATTCTAAAATATCAAACAAATAGTGTTATAGTGTCTGTGAAATCTCTGCATATTAGTGTTTTGGTGAATATATGTGTGAGGATTAACTGTCCTAACTGATGGCCGGATAAATGAGCAAATTACTCACACATACATCAATATTAACTGTGTACCTATTAATGCGTAATACGAATGCATAGTCAACTAGACAAAGGAGAAGGAAATACAAATCTGAGAAAAAAAAAAGCGAGGACTGTGTTCATCTAGGGAATACTTCTTTTTCTTTACACTTCTATCTGTTGTATAGATTATGCCAACCACATCATCAGCATACACGAACAAACAAAACAAATCAATGTGTAACGAAGTTTACAAGGAGGTAAACAGGTAGTTGAAGAGAAGAAAGTGAATTCAATTAAACTTGAATTTGTTTATTTACTTTAATAAGATCCTGTTGCAGAACTCATTGTAGAAAGACACGCGGTTATATTTACGTATATATATATCCTCAATTGAAAAGGTAGTTTTCACAATTTGAAAATGTAATAAATAGTAAGAGGAAATGACAGACAAGTATTATGTATGTATGTATGTGTGTATGTCTGTGTGTGTGTGTGTGTGTACAGAAATCTTTAATCCCCTTTAATTCCAAGTAAGCTGACTATTAGTTAATATGTTTCTTCATATTACCATCAAAGCGAAATTCAAGATTAGAGATCAGCCCCTACAAAAGACACTTCTTAAATTCTATATAATATAATATTCTTGCTGAATAATCTCAGATGATGATACCTTATGAATGCATGATTAGAATATGTACGTTGTATTACACAACATTACTCAAGTCCAGTATCTTTATAAGCAAATATCCTACTGTAAATATGACTTGTGCAAACAAAATGGCATAGAGTTGATGAATTATAATGATAATAAGTGTATTGTAATAGACTTCAGAGAGTTTTATCAAAACTTTTCACAGTAGATATACAAGGTGTATTCAGTAAATTGAACCAGTGTTCTCAGAGAAGAATAAAGATACAAGTATTTGTAGCTTTTATGTGCACATGTATATATATTTTTTTCACAAATGTATAGATGAGCAGATACATAAATCGATAACAGGGGAGTGACAAGTGACAGTCGAAGAACATTTATTATTTTTATTAATCATTCCTTGTGAAAATAAACAAATACACAGTAGAAACTGGTCAATGTATTTGGAAATAGTCGGGGAAAAAGCAAATGAATTTTGTGAGGTAGATAAAATCCAATAAAATAATATGAATGTTTATATTATGTTTGTAAGTTGTTGCCTTACTTGTACAATTCACACCACTACCATTACCACTACTACTACTATACGTAAGGATAGGTGGGAAAACGGATAAACGAACTAGTGTACAAACTGGAAATCAGAACATAGAATTTTTGCCAGAATAAGAAACAATCTTTTTTCTTCTTCACATATATAACAGCTTTTGTATCTACCTGAAAAATAAACAATTTCGCTAACTAATTTTGTACAATTCAGAAGTGTAATAGACGAAACAAACTGATACTAGTTGTCTGAATAGAATCTACTGGAAACCAATGTGAGAAAGACATGATTTATCTTGTCAAACAAGTTTAACTACTGTCATAATATATAAGTAGGTAAAAAAATATGCCAAAAATTTGGGAAAGCCAGAAAAGTGTCTATTTATAAGTGCAAAGGTGTACGCATATACTTATTATGTACGTATTTGTAGGCCAGTGTGGATTGGTTTGGTTTAAAAAGAGTGTGTAAGCGTGTAAGCCGGAGAATAAATAAGACAAGACAAGACAGAACAAAACTTGATTCTTCAAAGAATGCATACGTACATGCTGTATATGCGCATTGTGCGTCTTTGTGATGTGTGAGTCACAATCTATACCTTTATTTTATTTTTTTTAATGCTCTGTTTCGAGAAGTATTCATCTCTTAATTCCTTTTTCATTTTTGTTTTCTACTTTATTTTACTTTTTTTTCTGAAAGCTGTAGACAATGGGATAATCCTCTGACTAATAATATTTGCTAAACAGCTGCCTCATGAAAATTGAAATAAAGGAGAAAATAGTCGAATATTTTGTTGTTGTTGTTGTTTTTATTGATATTGTCCGTCTGTTGTTTAGTTTTTTAAGTGTTAAATGAGTTCCACTATATTGAATAATAACAATATATATTAGTAGTTGTGCAAACAAATGCATTCAAAGTGAATATATACATATACATATATACTCACTATCCCAGGGATGTAAGAGTAAACAAGAAACTGAACTGAAGAAGAAGAAGAATGAACGTGATAGATAGTCTGAACAATACACAAACACATAGAAAAACTAAACCAAACCACTGAAAGAAAGACAACGTAGAAACAGATGAAACAAATCCATAGTACAACTTCACAAAGAGGGAGGAAAAGAAACAAAACAAACAAACAAACAAAGAGAGCTGTCTCTTCTTTGCTTTCAGTTCACCTCTCTGAGAAAGATAGATAGATAGGTAGACAGACAGACAGAGAGGAAGAAACAAAAAAGGACCTGTGATAAACTCATTGATCACAGGATGACTTATACCACACATATTCATCACCGAACCGGAGAAACTGTAAGATGTGGTGGCGGGGGTGGGTGGGAGGGGCGAAGGAATATATATGTGTGTTTATAACAGGGACACATTTTTTATACATTTTGTTATGTATTCTTTGTAAATTCATTGTCCATTTAATTGAGTTGATTGTTGTATTTGTACAGAATGACTAAGTTCATCATTGCTGTTGCCATGATGATGATGAGGATGATGATGATGATGATGAGTAGTGGTTGTTGTAGTAGTATTAGTAATAGTAGAAAGAGGTGAAGGATGATGCAGATGACTTGATAACTCATTTTTACTACTATCACAGTTACTCGAAGCAACTTTAGTACTGAACAACAATGATGCAACATTTGTATGCTGACCACTAATAACAGATTGACTAGTATTATTTACATTTGATAGTGAATTCAATTCACCTATCGTTGTACTGATATTATTACTATTATTATTATTGTTTATAGATCCTAATGTCTCCATACTTGTTAATGATGTAAATGTTTGTGCGGGTAAGGCAGAATAAAGAGGACTTAGTGTTGGTGTTAAAAGGAAAGATTGTTGAATAGTATTACTACCAATAGTACTACCACTACTACTACTACTGCTATTATTATTATTACCATTGTTATTATTGTTATTATTATTACCAATACTACTGTTATTATTACTTGCAGAAGTCAGATTTTTTAATAATTTCCATGTTGATGGTGTAAGTATAGGTGACAGATTTTGTAAATCATTTGATGACCAAAAGCATGATGTTGATGTATTCGACAATGATGGTATCACTTGATTTACACAATCAGCTACTTTAGATAATGCTTGACGTTGAGCCTTCAACATATCCAATGGCTGGGCTGATGTTGTCGATGTTGACAATGTTGATAACGGTAGAAGAGTTGATGGTCGGGAGATAAGGCGTGTTACACTGGTTGTTGTTGTTGTTGTTGTACCTACTGATGGTGTCACCGTGGTTGTTGTTATCGCCGTTGTTGTCGTTGTTGTTGTTGTTGATGGTGTAGAGCCAGTAACTGTAGTGATAGTATTAGTACTACTGGTAGTAGCAGTAGTAGCACATCTAGACGCCCCACTGGCCTCAGGTTCCGGTTTAAGTACTAAAATTGATTGATTATGATCTTCATTAGTACTGAGTATAAGACAGTGAGTATTATTATTATTACTGTTAGTGATGATAGAATTGTTATCATTACTACCACTACTACTCCTGGTACTGTTAGTAGTAGTGGTAGTAATGCAGGATGAAGTGGCATTCGTCGTAGGAATCGCAGCACCAACAGTGATTACAACAGAAGTATTGGAAACAAAAGGTATAGATGATGACGAAGAAGAAGACGTATTAGGTCGAATATTATGACAGCGTATATCTAATTTAGGCGGGCAAGGATGAATATTTACAAGATTTGATATTGGTTTACAGCTGCCGCTAGTACTACCGCCACTGTTACTCGTAGTAACAGTAGTCAGTGTAGTCGAAGAGTCAACGGTGGAAGGAGACGACAGTGATGCAACAGGCATTGTACTCTCATCATCACAATATCCACTATCCATCATTAATTCATCCCTCTTTAAATTATCTGCATAATTTTCAAACGATCCAGAATTATCTGAATAATTTTTACTCATTGATAAAATTTTCTCAGCAGCTGGACAACCTGCAATCTGAAAAGTAGAAAAAAAAATACAAAGACATAAGAAAGTAGATTTCAAAGCACAGAATTAATTAAGGCCATACATTGTGTTTCTCACTTTTCTACACACACACACAACTAGCTGGAGGTACAGTGGACAATTCTTTATCAATTTAATACTGGACTCTAAAGAAAAATGCATACCTTTAATATTCTGTTTGTTTTTTGGTTAGTGGGATTATGGGACAGGCAAGCAATTACTGATTTTCACTCATAACTAGTTAAACTATGAAGTATGTTAAACAACACAATAACCTACAGCTGTCAAGTGATGATGTGATTATTTCTAAAATGTATTCAATGAATGAGCGTGTCTTACAAGTTCAAAGATAAATTGATATAAGGATAAAAACTTTGACATGGTGGTAGAGTATAACTCCATTATGCATAAAATTTCATTTTGATTAAATCAAACCATACAGTGTTATGCATTTACTGATGCGACCAAGTTTCGAGCACAAATTATTACTGCTCATCATCATCATCATCATATCAACGCACTAGCTCGCACAACTTCCTCGCCTCACTTAAATATACATGAGTAATAATTAATGATCAGACATTTGAATAGCAATCAATATAAGTAAGATAAAGTACATTCGGAAACAGTATTAGTGTCATCATTCAAATACAATCAGATGGGTAGTGAGATGTTTCTACAGTAGAAATAAGTAACTTGTTAGCATTTTATAATGTGTGTGAATTGAAATAGAATTTTAAGATTATTTATTATCCTCCTCTGATTCGACTGACTGGTGGTAGTAATATCTTCCATATTTGTGGTATTCGCGTTGAGTCACTTCTATTGCATGTGTTGGGTGTAGACTCGATGAACCAGACAGGATTCAGTAATCGCCACCTACCTATGTTTGTTTCTAGAATTTCGACTCTGTCCCACTCACCGTATTGTGTGGTTGTGTGTGTCAGTGAATGCAGTCAGATTGCTGAGTTTTATTTCTTAATCACTTATCTTCATGGGGTCAGTCATTCTAACCTTAGCTAGATTCTTATGTTCTGATAGGCAGTCTGACTACACCCGATCTACTGATTTGACCTACGTAGTTGACCTAACTCACAGTCATTGCAAGGTATTTTGTAAATTATATTATTTTGTTTAATTGTAGCCTACAGAGCTTTTCCTAACTGGATGAGATTGTAGGTTTGAATGCCACGCTAATCCCTGCTTCATTGAGAATCTTGGATTTCCCTTCCTTTTGTGGTTAAACTGTCGACACGTTATATTCTTTCTTATTTATGTTATCATTATTAGTTTCAAAATTATTTTTATTTTGCTTTTGACCTCTTTTGATATTACTAATGAATTTTATAGGATATTTATTTAACACTAACGGTTCTTCTATCTGTTTCATTTCATCGTTTAGGTCTTTTTTGTGCTACTTAGTGCTACTGCTCGGTTTGTTAAACACTTAACTAAGCCTGCCTTAACAGTTAATGGATGAGATGAATTAAAGTCTAAATATCTATTAGAATGCGTTGGTTTTCTATAAACACTAGTGTGCAGTTTGCCTTCTATTCGTTTTATCTTACAATCTAACATATCTTATTCTCCTCGTTCATTTTACGCTTCAAATGTGAATTTTATTCCCTCCTATAGTGAGTTTATGTGTGTCAAGATGCTAGAGAGATGTTCTGTTTTTAGCATTGTGAAAGTGTCATCCACATATCTCCACCATATATTTGAAGTAGGATTAAATGGATTAATAGCTATACTTTGACAGCTGTCCATAAATATATCTGCTACGATAGGGGATATTGGGGATCCCATTGCTACACCTTCTGTTTGTCTACATATATTGTACCTTGGCATTTAAAGATAGTAGATGTGAGGCATAACCGAATCCCTAAAACAATTTTCTCAATGGGCAGCCCTGTCCTATTGCAGCACCAGAATACAAGACATGGAACCAGGTTATGTATTTCAAGTGATCAAAACATTATATATATGCAGTTTTATATTGTCTAACCAGTCATTGAGGTATGAATATGCCTTACATTAAATGGCAATAAATGGAATGTTCAAATATAAATAGTATTCTATTGCTAACGCAGTATTGAAGTGTGGGAATAGTATTCTGACTCTAGCAACGAGCAGAATATTCATGTATATATATATATATATATATATATATATATATATATATATATATATATATATATATATATATATATATATATATATATATATATATATATATATATATATATATATATCGTATGGTGTTGCTAGTGCTGTATTGAACTATAGGAATATGTGAGGATAATATCCCGTTGGAACACATCGTCTGTAGCATGATATCACACTATGACTAAGTTCGGGATCAGAAGTTAGTTCTACTTTAACCGCTTCTAAGGCCATATTGATTGGTATATTAGTGTAGAGATCAGCTATATCAAAACTAACCATTTTCTTCGTGATTGTGTAATCGAATGTCATTTAGTTTCCTTTTTATTTCATATGAATTAGTTAATCTAGAGTTTGAATGATTTCCAATAGGACACAGTATTACATGTAACTGGTATGATAATTCATAAAAAGGTGTATTTATGAAATAAGCTCTGTAGGCTACAATTAAACAAAATAATATAATTTACAAAATACCTTGCAATGACTGTGAGTTAGGTCAACTACGTAGGTCAAATCAGTAGATCGGGTGTAGTCAGACTGCCTATCAGAACATAAGAATCTAGCTAAGGTTAGAATGACTGACCCCATGAAGATAAGTGATTAAGAAATAAAACTCAGCAATCTGACTGCATTCACTGACACACACAACCACACAATACGGTGAGTGGGACAGAGTCGAAATTCTAGAAACAAACATAGGTAGGTGGCGATTACTGAATCCTGTCTGGTTCATCGAGTCTACACCCAACACATGCAATAGAAGTGACTCAACGCGAATACCACAAATATGGAAGATATTACTACCACCAGTCAGTCGAATCAGAGGAGGATAATAAATAATCTTAAAATTCTATTTCAATTCACACACATTATAAAATGCTAACAAGTTACTTATTTCTACTGTAGAAACATCTCACTACCCATCTGATTGTATTTGATTGATGACACTAATACTGTTTCCGAATGTACTTTATCTTACTTATATTGATTGCTGTTCAAATGTCTGATCGTCAATTTTTACTCATGTATATTTAAGTGAGGCGACGAAGTTGTGCGAGCTAGTGCCTTGATATGATGATGATGATGATGAGCAGTAATAATTTGTGCTCGAAACGTGGTCACATCAGTAAATATTACTTACTGTATAACAAACACTGTGTGATTTGATTTAATCTAAATGAAATTTTATGCATAATGGAGTATGAAACAGGTACTCAACCTGCTTGGGATAGTTCGTGTAGGGTTAAGTCAGTTTCGTTTAAAACTATATATTGGACAGTTGGCATTTGTGCATTTTAAAAAGGCAATTATCATACATAGGCTTTTAATCTTCTTTAGAATGCTGCAATTTTCTTCTTCTATATATCTATATATTCTATTATTACACGTCAAACAACATTGAGTCCTGTTGTATTTCATGTCTAGTTGCTGTAATTGCTCAACTTCTCTTTTCTATACATTTAAGTGATTCAAGTGATTTTGGTTGTACTCTGATTTTCATTGTAAAAATCAAAACATTGACAAAACGAAGAGATCATGAATCTCATATAAACAGTCGATTTTCAGATACACTAGAAGTTGATTGATCAAGCTTTTCTAATGTGGCCATATTATAATAAATATTGTGGTGATGTGATACAGACAATGGGTTCCAAAGGAATATTATTCTCACAGTAAGAAGTAATCATTGTATTTCTTGGTGTTAGCGTATGAATACTATTCTCGCAGTTGAATACTGAGTTTTCAAAAGAGTGCTTTATGTGTGTATTCAAGCATTCTCTTTCATGTTGTTTGATGTACACCGAAATCACGATCTCAGTGATTGGCTGGAGAATATGAACAGCATAGATATAAGTAGCTGTTTGACCACTTGAAAATGGATATTCACTTCCTTGTCTTGTCTGGCCTTGCCTTCTGTTGTTACAGTTTAACACAGCAATCTTATATTTTATTGAGTGTTACATATATATATGTATATATATATATATATATATATATATATATATTTCTCAGTTAGATTCAAAACAAGCTCTTGAGTTAGATGTTTTTGTTATTTATTTACACTTATCAGTAAGAAGATACTTGCAGACATGATGAAAACTACTCTTACTCAATGGAGTGTTAACTTGTATCATTCAGTGTTCAGGTGGGGGGTGGGTGGGGGACAGAGATTTCCACACCCACATTGAGATACTGACTGACTGTAATTACCATTTGTAAGTTATTCAACAGTGTGATCGGTGATATTCTTTAGACACCGTCCATTACTTCCCTTTATTATTGATGTTTCTCTTGTCAATAAATTTCATCCAATTCATTCGTTCGCTTGTACGAACAAACCTTTTGTTCTCCTTCAATTTATGTGTGTTTATCCACTCGTAATTTTCCTAACACAGTGACATAGTAACACAGATAAACAAGCAGAACATCAAATAAGGCATTCGGAAGACAATTATCGTGAGATGACATTATTTCACGGCTTTTCTTCACTGTCTTTACAACTAGGACGGTTCACAATTGTATATATATATATATATATATATATATATATATATATATATATATATATATATATATATGGGCCTTCAAGCATTGTCCAGACTTGTGTCATCTGTGACTCAGATTTGACACACAGCCATTCACTAAGAGAAGCTTGTAGTGCACATCAGTTCACTCTGTCCTACTTGAAGTCTGTGAGATATAAATGTAGTAAGTGGGAATTACAAAGAAGACAGCTATTCTTTGATCATATGTATCTGCACTCAGTCATTCGTCTTAATTGGTGAAAC